AGAAAGCAGTATGGAGTTTGCTCAGAAAATTAACAATAGATCTACCAGATGATCCAGCTATCCCACTGCTGGGTATTTATCCAAAGAACTTGAAAACACAAATGCATAAAGATACATGCACCCCTATGTTCATTGCAGCATTATACACAATAGCCAAGACTTGGAAGCAACCTAGGTGCCCATAAAGGGACGAATGGATAAAGAAGATATGGTATTTATACACAATGGAACACTACTCAGCCATAAAAAATGATGAAATGCAGTCATTTGTGACAACTTTGATCGAACTTGAGGGTATTATGCTAAGTGAAATATCAGAGGGAGAAAGTCAAATACTATATGGTCTCACTCATAAGTAGAAGATAAAAACAATGTCAAACAAACACATAGCAACAGATGTTGGATTGATAGTTACAGAGGGGAAGGGAGGAGGGTGAAAGGGGTAATTAGGCACATGTGTGTGGTGATGGATTGTAATTAGTCTTTGGGTGGTGAACATGGTGTAATCTACACAGAATTCAAATATATTATGATGTACATCTGAAAGTCATATAATGTTATAATCCAACGTTACTGCAATAAAACCAAAAATTAAAATTTTAAAAAACATAATGAATTAAAAAAAAGTAAACATCTTTTTAAGCCCCAGAAATATCACATCAGTAAGAGGCACACAGTTAGACACACTGTGACAATAAACAAAAATGTGGGGCAATGACAATGTATCATAGTTGTCCCACTTAGTTCTGGGCCTGAGAGATTAGGATGGTTAGTGAAGATTCCCACCGGAATTTACAGGTTAGTTGAGATATGAGCAATGAGTGGATGTCACTGAGAGAAACAGTGTTGAGGCAGGGGCCTGAAATTTCTTTAGGTTCGTGGGACTCAAGTTTTCAAGAGTCTCGTGAACCTAATGTGGTTTGAGAGGGTTTTCCTGAACTATTCAATTTATTTATCCTTCACCTGCTGCAAAAGCCATCCACTGAGTCTAAAATCATTTTTCTGGCTTTATTGAGACATATTTCGCACCTGTAACATTCACGGATTTACACTGTGCATTTCAGTGATCGTGAGTATATTCAGAGTTGTGCAACCATCACCACAATGTAACTGTAGGAAATTTTCAACAAACACATGGAGAAAGAGAACAGATTAGTGGTTACCAGAGGATAAGAGGATGGGTGAGGACAAAAAGGGTAAAGGGACACATATGTATGGTGACAGATAAAAACTACACTATGAGTGGTGAGAAACTGAAACTGAAATATAATAATGTACAAAGAAAATTACACAGTTATAAGCCAATATGATCGAAATAAAACAATTTTTTAAAAATTACAAATTCCACCCTAGCACGTGCTACCTGTTTATAAAACTAAAGGATTGAAAACAAACTAAATGTCCATCAATACAAGGCTAGCTATTGAAATTATGAAAAATTTATATAATAAAATCTTATCATCTGTAAAAGGAAATGAAGAATCTCTATATGTATAGCTGAAGAATGTTCAAGATACGATGTTAAATGAAAAAATTTAAAGTGCAGAACAAAGTATATGGTATGCAACCATTGGTAGTAGAAATATATTTAAAAGAAAAATATGTGATTTTTATATTAACAAAATGCTTTTGAGAGAATAAAAAAGAAACTTCCTTCACATTAGTGGTCACACCTCATCCTGACTGGCAGGTGCCCCACCCCCACCCTAGCCTCAGGGCACCGTTAATCTACTTTCTATCTCTATGGTTTGCCAATTCTGGACATTTCACGTGAGTGGAATCATAAGATATGTGATTTTTTAAAATTGGATTTTTTTCATTTAGCATAGTTTTCAAGGCTCATTCATGTTGCAGCATATTTTCATGGGTGAATAATATTTTTTATTCTTTATTAATGGCTAAATAATATTCCACTGTCTGGCTATGCCACACTTTGTTTATCCATTCATCATTGAGGAAGGACATTTCAGGACAATGGAGAGTGAGGCGGGACATTTCAGGACAATGGAGAGTGAGGTGGGACGTTTCAGGACAACGGAGAGTGAGGTGAGACATTCCAGGACAATGGAGAGAGAGGAAGGACATTTCAGGACAATGGAGAGTGAGGAAGGACATTTCAGGACAATGGAGAGTGAGGAGGGACATTTCAGGACAATGGAGAGTGAGGTGGGACATTTCAGGACAATGGAGAGTGAGGTGGGACATTTCAGGACAATGGAGAGTGAGGCGGGACGTTTCAGGACAATGGAGAGTGAGGTGGGACGTTTCAGGACAACGGAGAGTGAGGTGAGACATTCCAGGACAATGGAGAGAGAGGAAGGACATTTCAGGACAATGGAGAGTGAGGAAGGACATTTCAGGACAATGGAGAGTGAGGAGGGACATTTCAGGACAATGGAGAGTGAGGTGGGACATTTCAGGACAATGGAGAGTGAGGCGGGACATTTCAGGACAATGGAGAGTGAGGCGGGACGTTTCAGGACAATGGAGAGTGAGGTGGGACGTTTCAGGACAACGGAGAGTGAGGTGAGACATTCCAGGACAATGGAGAGAGAGGAAGGACATTTCAGGACAATGGAGAGTGAGGAAGGACATTTCAGGACAATGGAGAGTGAGGAGGGACATTTCAGGACAATGGAGAGTGAGGTGGGACATTTCAGGACAATGGAGAGTGAGGCGGGACATTTCAGGACAATGGAGAGTGAGGCGGAATGTTTCAGGACAATGGAGAGTGAATTAGTTCAAGAGAGTCACTAACGAACAAAAACAAACTAGAAACAACCACCACCTTTGAGGAATCTGATAACAGGAGTGTTACAATATATGATCTAAAACACTTAGTTTTTAAAAAATGTATGATATATAAGGAAACAAAATAGTATGCATCGTATACATGAAAAAAATCAGCCAAAAGAATATGCCCCTGAAGAGGCACAGATTTTGGTCTTAGTACTCAAAGTCTTTAAATGCATTATTATAAATATATTAAAAGAACTAAAATAAATGATGTCTGGAAAATTAAAGGGAAGTGTGACTACTGTCTCACCAAATAAAGGATACAAATAAAGAAATAAAAATTATGAATGAAACAAAATGGAAATTCTAGAGTGGAAAAGTACAATAACTGAAATGAAAAAATACTCAGAGTGGCTCAACAGAATCGAGCGGGCAAAACAAAGACTTCATGGGGCCAGCCCCAGTGGCATAGTGGTTAACTTCAGCACACTCCACTTCAGCGTCCCGGGTTTGATCCCCAGGTGTGGACCTACACCACCCGTGGCCATGCTAGGGTGGCAACTCACATCCAAAATAGAGGAAGATTTGCACAGATGTTAGCTCATGGCAAATCTGCCTCAGCAAAAAAAAAAAGAAGACTTGCCATATGGCCCAGCAATTCTACTCATAGATATACACCCAAGACAAATGAAAATATGCGTCCACACAAAAACTTGTACGTGAATGTTTACAGCAGCATCATTCATAACAGCAAAAAAATGGAAATAAGTAAAAGCTCATAAACTGGTGGGCAGATAAACAAAATGCAGAATATGAATATAATGGAATAATATTTCCAAAACAACAAGAATGAAGTCATGATACTCACTACAACATGGATGAACCTTGAACGCACCATGCTAAGTGAAAGAATCCAGTCACAGAAGATCACATGCATGACTTCAGTTATGTGAAATATCCACAATGGGCAGATCCACAGAGACACAAAGTGGATGAGTGACTGTCGGAGGATGGGGTGGAGGAGTGGGTAGCGGGAATGGGGAGTGAATGGTACTGTACACGAGCTTTCCTTTGGGGAGTTGAAAGTGTTCTAAAATCGGATTGTGGCAAAGGCTGCACAACTCAATGGTTAGTCTAAAAGCCACTGATCTGGACACTTTAAAGGGGTAAATTTTAGGGATGTGAAATATATTTTAATAAAAATGTAAAAACAATAAACCTAGTATGAAAAGCTGAAAATAAAAGACTGCAAGCTCTGGAGCGTGGCTGTCTGGATTGGAATCCCAGCTCTGCTACGTGCCAGCAGTGCACCTATGGGCATTCACCTAAACTATGTGTGCCTCAGTTTACTCATCTGCAAAATGGGGCAAGTGACAGTGCACATCTACCTCATACTATTGGTGTGAGGACTGATTAAGATAACACAGACAAAAATGGTTAGAAAAGTGCCTGGCCAAAAATAAGCACCTTGTAAATCTTAACTATGATACAATCTATTATTTTGATTATTTAAATAAGGTCTACTTTTCCAAATGAAAAATTGGAATATCCTTTGGATTTCAATAAGGAAGCAGATTAGATTTTTTTAATTTTGATTTCATCTTTGTAATTTCAAGGACAGAGATTGAAAGACATTCTCCTTAACTGTTACTATCTTCCTCCAGAAAACATCCTAGGGATTATTACTTAGTGTCTCTCTCCATATTATGGTCTTGGATAATCAAAATACTATGCTGGTTCTATGGTGGCCGTGGTTGTGCTGGAGAAGATGAGGACAAATGGGAAAGTGCATTTACCGGGTTGATGTTCCATAGAGACGAGGCCTGGATGCTGCAGAAATGACCACGATCACGGCCAGGACCCCGTAGCCCACAGGGAACATGAGCTTCTTCATGAACCTGCTCACACTGGAGTAGTTGACCACCGTCAGGTTGCGCGCAGTGAGGAAGAGGTGCAGGCCCTCCAGCAGCATCCAGGTGAAGGAGGCCAGGTAGAGATAGTGTAAGGCGCCCGCGATGATGGCGCACAGCACCTGGAGGAGGAGTGACGCAGCACCAGGAGGGAGGGTGGGGGTGGAGTGTGGCCCCAGGACCTCTCCCGTGCCTTGCCATTGGGGAGAAGTCTGATGCGTATGAAGGAGCGGTCAGAGAGGGTTTGTTGTCTAGTTGCATCAGTCAATGTGACATTGGTCACTCACCCCCTGACCTTCCCTGGGACCCAAGATCATTACATTAACGTATCCAGAGCAGCATGGCGTCATGGACTCAGCACCCCCTTGGGGCAGGCTGGAGGGTCCACTGGGACAGGGTCAGTACCGTGATCTCCGTTCGGTCAATGGCCGTGAGGAAGAGGAGGTGGGCCAGGAAGAGGCAGAGTGAGAGCTGCAGGTGGAGCGAGGTGCTGGTGTTCTGGATGGCTCTGCACAGCAGGAAGGTGAGGGCCGCCAGGAGGAGGCACAGCAGAGAGAGGCTCAGCCCCACGTGGGTGATCACATCCAGCATGGGATCCTCCTCCTGGGACCCAGCAAAGAGGAGACCATAGTCACTCCTTCCTGCTCTGGGGTAATGGCCCTTCCACCATTTTTTTTTTTTTATTTTTAGGCATAGAAAAATTAGGAATGGAGGAGCCAGGTAAACTTGTGATGTTTGACTAAGTACCTACAGGTTCAGAACGTTAGGACACTATGTGATTGTGAACTGACTGATTCAGAGCCTGGACGAAGCCCTGCCTCTCACAGGGGCTTATTTTCCTTTAGAGGTCACCTGAGTGAGTCTCTGGTTTTGGTGACCTAGAGGAAGTAACCAGCTCACCTGCACAGGGGAGGAGGCCAACACGGCCCCTGACCCACCTGTTCTCAACGGCTCCCCTGGTGCCCTCTGCCCTCTTCCAAGTCATCCTTTCTGCAGCCCCTGAGCACTGCTGCACCAGAGACCCCTGAGGTGAGCAGAGGTCTAATTTGGCGACCATATCCCTGCCCCCGGGTGGACACACCCCTGCTTCCAGGGTACTAGTCAAAAGCCAATCCAAGTGCGGCTGTGAAGGCATATGGCAGATGGAGGTCCCACATCAGGTCCTACATCAACTGACTTGAAGAGAAGGAGTTTATCCTGGGTGGGCCTGGTCTAACCAGGTGAGCCATTGAAAGATTCAGGGTCTTCCTGGAGCAAAACACTCAAAGTTCGAGCGAGTTTTCATGTGAGGGAGCATCAGCTGCTGGCCTCCAGATAGGAACGCTGACACCTTGTGAGAAACCCCAGCAGACAACCACATCAGAAGGGATGCAGGCGGCCCCCAGGTGCTGAGCATGGTCCCCCGCTGCCAGGTAGCAAAAAAGTGGGACCTCAGTCCTACAACTGCAAGTAATTGAAGTCCCCCAACAACAGGCAGAGCAGAGGAGAACCCCAGGCCTCAGAGGAGAGGCTTGTAAGACCTGTAAGATGCCGACAGACAGCCCAGCTGCACCACGCAGGACTGCTGACCTGCAGAGACTGGGGGTGACACATCTGTGGGTCTTTAAGCTGCTGCATCTGTGGGAGTTTGTTGTAGTGTGACAGACATTGAACACAGCCCCTCTCAGGGTCCTCACCTCCACATCCTCGGGGTTCACCAGGATAGCAATGCTGCCTGGCAAGAAGCCCAGGCAGGTGGTGTTGCCGTTCCAGCTGCCCAGCGTCCGGCACCCTGTGGTGGCCCAGTGCCCGCCCCCGTCATCAGCTCCCTTCCAGAAGGCACAGATCAGCTCCTGCCGTGTCCCGGGCTTCTCTGGCTGTGGGCAGGTGGGGTTGACCAGAGAGGTTAGCCTGGAACCTCCCTTGGGTCCTGAGCGCGGGCTGAGGCTGAGGATGCTGTTCATTTGCAGCTGCCTGCTGAGCACCTGCTGCGTGTGCCAGGTGGGGGCGCAGCAGTGACCAGGGCAGACCCACGTCCCTGCCCTGGGGGGCTGACACGCTCGGGGAGACAGAGGGTAAATAATAGACCTGATAAGTAAGTAAACTAGACAGTGTGTTGGAAGGTGTCAGGCGCTATTTAAAAACATAAAAAGAAAGACACAGCGGAGGGGAAGGGGAGCTGTGGCTCCAGGTTGTAATTTTCAATCAGGAGGTCCGGGGAGGCCTAAAAGAGAAGGGGACATTTGAACACACTGGAAACAGGGAAAGGGCTGAGTCACGGGAGGGAAAGGTGTCCCAGGCAGAGGGCACAGCAAGTGCAAAGGCCCTGAGGTTTGAGGAAGGAGCAGAGTGGGCGCAGGTGGGCTGCAGAGGGACCACTGTGACCCTGGCCACCGGGTGAGCAGTGGGGCTGACCCCTCCCCACCCCAGGACTCACAGGGTGGGAGAAGGCGAAGGTGACCTTGGGGTCGAGTTTCGTCGTGTTCGTGTTGCTCAGAAAGACCGAGTTGACGGTCGAAAGGAGACTCAACTGGATGCCATAGAGGGGGCTTTCGTGGGTCTCCTCCAGCTCGGCTTGCCTCTCGGGGTCCAGCTCCAGGGAGGCGTTGGCCAGCAGTTTCTGCATGTTGGGGTTGGAGAGGATGCCTGCCACGGTGGGGCCTGCGGACAGACACACCGGCCCGTCTGCCCTCCCTCCTCCCTGAGATGCCTCATCCAGGCTGGCCATTCCTGGGGGCCCGTCTGACCCTCACCCCTGGCCACATCCCAGCCCCCTCCCTCTCCACGGGTGCCCCCCGCACCCTGCCTTACCCGACCCCGCAGCCACGGCCGCCACGGCCCAGTCCAGGAGCATCCGTGCGTGGCTCTGGCCCAGGGTGACGTTCCCGTGCCCCTGCTCCTGGATCACCAGGGACAGCTCTGAGGGGAGAGGGGCAGTGACTGGGGGTCCGGGGCAGGACGCGTGTAGGGCTGGGGCAGGCAGGGCAGGACGAGGCCTCACCTGTGCCTGCAGGAGACTGGTAGGTGAAGGAGCCTCCAGGCACGGCCTTGGCGAGGGTCCTCAGGACTTCTTCCAGGCCCGAGAGCAGGTGGGTGACCGTGTGGTGCCGGTCAGGCAGGGCCAGGGTCTCCAGGTCCCCGGGGGCTTTCAGCAGCTCGTCCACTGACTGGATGAGGTCCTGGGGGTGGTGGGTGACAGCCCCTGGGTCATCGCACCACAGGGGCCCCCTGAATGACCCTGCTCTCCCCCACCAGTGTCAAATAAAAATGGCAAGGAATAGGATATATTGGAGTATATGAGGAAGCCATTTGGTGTAAACCTAATTCGGCCTGAACTTGTCTTTCCAAAAGGGCCTGACTGAGGCCGTTGAGCATGCATTGTATATCTGCTTTAGAGATTCCCTATGGCAAGAGCAAAGGCCCTTGAGATAAAGGTGCAACTTCCCTCCCCCTCCCAACTTTGGCATCTCCTTAAAGATTAAGCATCTTTCTTTAGGCTGGGAACAGATTGCAGCGCTCATCTGTGACCCCGCCCAGCCCGAGGCAACACACCTGCCACCCTGCGGGGTTCACTAAGACAGCAGACCTATCTGCCATTTCCATCAAGAGCTGTGCTGACAGGGCAGCCTAGTGACTACTGTAAAAGGGACACTTCAATCATATGTGAAACACACTCTTTGAGGGTATAAAACCACCCTATGTACCCCCACTTCTTTGGAGTGCTCCGTTCCTTTGTGGAAAGACTCTCCCGGGTTATAATCCTAAGATTTAAGCTCAGAATAAACTCACCCAAATTTTCATTTATAGATTGGTTATGGATTATTTTCGTCGACACCAGGGACACAGGAGGACCACCTGGGGCCTGGGGAACACACGCGGGCATCATCAAGACCCCGCAGGAGCCAGAAGACCAGTGAGGAGGCAGCCTGTGTCCTGTGCGTGTGTCACAGCCACGGCGCTCGAAGTCCCTCAGGACGGGCCTCCTGCCCCTCCGCCCAGAACAGTCGCCACGAGCCACGTGGCCGTCGGGCACTGGAAATGTGGCTGCTCCAAATGGAGCCAAGCTTGAATGTGAAATACGCAGCAAAATTGCAAACAATTAGTTTGAAAGAACGTGGAATATCTCAGTGACATTTTTATGATTCTGGGTTAAAATGGTAATATTTTGGATCTATTGGGTTAAAGGCCATTTTCTCAGTAATTTCCCTTGTTTACTTGTACTTTTTGTTAACATAGCTACCAGGAAATTTAAAATGACATACGGGCTCCCGCTTTTCTACCTGATAAGCGTGCTCCACACCGCGCCCCGGGCGCCAGCTGCTGTTCTTGGAGCCTCTTCTCTTAGTTCCTTTATGAAGTGAGGAGACGGGCGGAGTCACTTGCCTGAAGTCACACGGCAGGGAGGGGCAGAGGGTGGGACGGGGGATTTGAACCCTTGTGGCCCAGCTCTAGAGAGAAAATCCTTAACTGCTCCCTTCTCCCCCTCGAGTGCACGCGTGCTTTTCAGGCTGTGTGGGCACGTCCGCGCTTGAGTAACTGGTGTAGACATGGCGTGTATGTGGCCCACATGGACATGAGTCTCCCTGAGCAGAGGCCCTGCTGGGGCTGTCTCCACTCACACGGAAGCATCCCCCAGACACCGCAGGGGACAGTCCTGGGCCTCTGGGTCCTGTCCCTACCCAGACGGTGTCCTGGGCCGAGGCTGGCTTGAAGTGTCTGCGCAGATCCTGGACTCCTTCAAAGAAGCCAGAGAGACTCTGGGGGAAGGGGAGAAGTAGAGGTCAGGGAACCTCGAGGGTGGGCGGGGAGCTTGGGGAAAAGGGGCAGACAGGGCAGGCTACACTGGGGGGGGGGAGGGGGGGGATTCCTCCTCCCGGTCCCTGCTGGAGCCACTCACCTGGCTCTGGATTCCAGGGACGGAGCCCAGGTGGGGAAGGTCACCTCTACAGGGGACAGACAGGGGTTCATTAGGGGTGACAGGGTCAGTGCTTGTTGGGGTGGAGTCTGGGGTCGTGTCAGATCAGGTACCTTCGCACACGGTGGTGCGTTGGTTGTCCCGGAGCCCCAGTAGGGGTGTCCACCCTGGGCGGCAGCGGCACCTGTATGAGCCCGCGGTGTTGACACAGACAGTGGAGTTGTGAAATGAGTTCTGCCCAGAGCTGTATTCATTGACATCTGGGGACAGGAAGATGGGGTCAGACCAGGCCACAGCCTGGAGGAGGCCCCTCTCCCCTCCACGCCCCGCCCCCTTCTCCGTATTTGTGTCCCCTTGCCCCCTAGGCTGGAGGCGATGACACCTGGTGACAGCACACCCCGAGTGGTGACCCCAGGTCATGGGGAGTGCAAATGTGACACAGCAGGTGAGCCAGACGGAAGTGCAGGTTGTGAAATAATGGGAACCTTCACCCCAGTTAGTAATCAGCTGCTGTCTGGGGTCCCGGGAGTCTTCCCCATGGTACCCCAGCTCCTTCCCCAGGACCCCCAGATGTTTTCCCATTTGGTCTCTAAAGGCTTAGTGCCTGGCCCAGCAGCCGCCCCCAGCCTTCATGCTGCTGGGTCCGCGTGGGAGCCATCGAGTATGTGAGCAGGTGTTCTGGGTAGGGGTCCCCAGGAGGGCAGCAGCCGAGCTCTGGACCTGCACAGACGGTGCTGTCTGGGCCTTTGGGGGACCCAGGAACCGGCTTCCAGCCAGGGCGGCAGCAGCACTTGTAGCTGCCCAAGACACTGAGGCAGTGGGTGGAGCTGTGGCAGGGATTGTGCCCCGAGGCACATTCGTTCACATCTGAGGACAAAGCCAGAGGGTCAGGCCCTGCCCTCCACTCACTGCACACCCCTCACTGCCTGGCACTAGGACCCCACCATTATTGCATGCGCCACCACCTGGTGAACTTCGCCTTCACCCTCAAAGCACCTTATGGTGGCCTCCCTGCAACGTGGCCTTGCAGGGACCACAGACCCCACTTTACAGGCAGGGGACCAGGAGGGAAACTGAGTCATGGGGGCTGGACTTTTTGACCAAGTACTCTTGCTGGCTCCTTCCTGGGCCCTGGTCCAGGTTCCCTTTCTGGAAAGTGGAAGTGACAGCTTCCTCTGCTCCCATGTGACAGACGAGGAAGGGGCAAAGTCTGGGGGTGCTCTCAGGGGCAGGGGGGATCCATAGGGGACCCAGGCTCAGAGGCCCGGCCACCTCCCTGCTCTGTGGGGGACTTTCAGGGAGGCGGGGCCCTGGGCAGGCTCAGCGGGTGTCTTCATAGGGCCTGAGGATCGGCTCCTCCTCGGGCTGCAGGACCCGCCTCGGCTCCTTCCCAGTCCATCCAGCCTCGGTGTCTCCCCGGGGCTCTACCTGTGCACAGATTCGGGTCCTTTGGGTTGAGCTCCAAGCCGGGCGGGCACGTGCAGGTGTAGCTGCCCAGGGTGTTGATGCAGACACTGCGGCCTTTACAGATTCTGGGTTTCTGCTGACATTCGTCCACGTCTGCAAGGGGAAGGAGAGATGACGCGGCCTGTAGCCATGGGCAGCCCTCAGGCTGGGAGGCAGCCACGTTTCCTGGCAGAGAAGCATCTGGAAGGCCCCACTGTCTGTTCCCGGGTGAGTGGGCGCCCTTTTTCATTCACGTGGAGGCCTGAGGATGGATGTGGTGGCCTGGATGCGCTGATGTCCAGAAGTGGCTGGAGGTGGCCTGAGTCCTCCCTGTCCCCAGCTCTGACTCCCTCAGCCTCCGTGGGCAGCTCCCAGCTGGGTTGGGGACAGCAAGGCCACCTGTGTCTGAGGATGTGGTCAATGGCCAGGTGGGCTTCCCTGGGATCGAGAGCAGTGAAATGCTGCATTCCCCGAGCAGCACCATCCTGGACCCAGTGATGGCCTTTGCTCAGGGTGGGTGCTTCTGGCTGAGCTCTCCTTGGAATCCCCGTGAGCCTGGCAGGACTGTACTCTCCCATCCACACTCACTCTGAGACTCCAGCTCCGTGGAAATGGACCACGAGCCACCCCTGAGCCAGGACCCTCCAGAAGGAGGCGTTCGGCAGCAGAAGGGAGAGTGAAGATGGTGCTGGACAGTCCAGGGCGACCCAGACAGCGGGCGCCAGGCTGGGTGGACAGTGGGGCTGACAGACGTCTGGCCAGGTAGGCTTGGGGCTGTGAAAGTGCCTTTTCCTGATTCCCATGAAGACATCCTCTGGACTGACAGAAGTGGCGAGATTCACATTGGATCAAGGCCAGCAGTGGGTGAGGGCTGGTGGCTGGAAGGGGAGCAAGTGCTGATGGGAGAGGGGTGGCAGAGGTTTCTGTCTTCTCAGCCCTCAGCCTCCCTCCAGGGACACAGACCTGTGGACCCGTGGAGTGGAGCTCAGCCTCCATCTTCTGTGCCCAAGTGGTCCAGGTCAACATGGGGCCAGTCTTGACCCCCTTGGGAGAGGGTCAACCTGGGGTGATGGTCCATGATGACGGCCACTCTTGCCATTTGGTCCAGACAGGAGCTCTTCTGTTCACCCGATTCTCTGGGTTTGTGTGGGGGGTTTCCATGTCATGCTGTCCACCTCTGACCCTGCTTCCCCCGGGTTCCGGTCATCCGTGTTGCCCACAGGCCATGAGCTGAAATTACTGGGGAGGGTCCGGGCAGCGCCTTGTCCAGAGAATTTGATGGAGGCCGAGCCGCCGGGTCAGGTGGCAGGAGGCGTCTTCACCAGGTGGGGATGTTGGCCAGGGACAGAGCCAGCTGGGGAATGTGAACCTGCCCTTGAATCTCCCCTCTCTCGGGTTTCTGGACGGGGCGCCTGGGTACATCATGGCCTGGGGGATCTGAGGGGGCTCCAGGTGTGGCCGAGCCCCTGTGGGCTTCTGGCAGTGACTGAAGAGGATGCATATTGTGCTGGTACCAAGACACTGTGAGCCCGTGAGGTCTCTTGATGCCAACCCTCTCTTTTGTTTCATGAAAATAAGATGCCATGTCATCAAGGACGATGTTCCAAAATTCCAGAAGTGTCCCTCTGTGGAAGTTTCTGAGCCTTGAGGTCCAAAGAGGGCAAGTGACTAGGTTGGTGCCAGGATGGCCCTCTGCTACCTGGAGAAAGTGGTGCAAAAGACCCCAAACCTCATAGACGAGGGGATGGCAGACGCGGGGTGGTTCTTACCTTGACACGTGTTCTCACTCTCGTTTCTGAATGTTGTTGCCCCAGAAACAAGCCCATATCCTGGGCTACATGTGCAGTAGTAGCTCCCATGCACATTCTGGCAATCTGCAAAATTTCCACACGACACCCCAAAGGGTGGTCCACACTCATTGACGTCTCGAACACAACAGCGGAGAGGGTTACCTCTCAAACGGGAGAGTTCCTAGAGAGCAGAGACGCTGGCCCCAGGCTCACCCTGCCACAGGGACAGCACAGAACTCAGCTCCTGGGTGGCACCGCTGGGACACAGCTGGGCTGGAGCCATCTGCTCCAGAAATTCTGCTAATTGTCTGCTGATCTCCACTCTCTGGCTGGGCCTGAGGGCACCTAGATTCAGAAACTCTGCTGTCCCATGATGGGGGCTGGAAGGAGGTGTGCACCCCTCTCCACAGCTGGAGGGGTAGACGGAGGCACTGACTCAGCTCTGGACCCTCCCCTGGGTGCTCTGGGCACCACAGGGGACCCTGCAGTGCACTCCAGTCAGGGTGCCAGTGGCATTGAAGGCCACTCTCGATGCCGAGGAAGGGGAGGGAGCCATAGTGGGGGCTGTCCAGGGCCACGCTCATCATTCACACCTGGGGATAAAGCCAGGTGGTCAGGAGCCTGCCCAGCGCTGGCTTCCATTGCCCTTTACTCACAGTGGCCCAAGTGCACCCACACTCCCCATCAGGCACTCCCCCAGCTCCCCAGATCAGGCCTTTCCCAGATGCCCCAGGATGTCTCCAGGGGAGTCTTTCCATCTCCACCCCTGAGGGAAGTCTCCCCTTATCAGAGCCTGTGGTGGATGTGAAATGAGGAAGCAGCACAAGCTTCTCACGGCTGAGTCATCAGGGTGTCTTCTGGCATCTTCTCTCTCCTTGTTCTCTCATCATGAGAGGAAAGATGCCCATGAGCCACATCCCCTTTGAGCAGCTCAGGACCCACAGAGCAGGGGCTGCACAGCGTAACTGAAAACAGCATCAGCTTAGTAAGAACCGCAGACGCAAAAACGAATCAACATGCAGGGCAGGAATGCAGCCCATGTGCATCCAAGGAGGGGACCAGAGACTTCAACACCTGAGAGGACTCACAGCGTCATGTTGAGTGAGGCAGACGGCTGGTCTCCCTCAGATCGGAGCTCTCTTCTCTGCACCTGCATACTTCCCTTCTAAGGCCCAGACCCAGGCTGTGGGTGTCAGCACCAGGACAGGACAAGACGCAGGAGGGATGCATGCCTGAGGGATTCGTGTTCAGCCCCCACCTGGCAATAGGGCTTCCCTCCTCTGTTCTATGATGGCGGCAATGGCTGGACATTGTTCCCAAAGTTGACTGGAGAGAGTGAAGCCAAGTGTGGGACCGTTGAGAATGAGGTGCAAGGGATGGCGGGGAGACACGAGGATGGGACCTCTCCACCTGACAGGCGCCCTCCCAGAGAGGAGCTGGGATCCAGCTGCATAAGCAGCAGGGTCTCCTGTCCATGGTCACCTGTCTAGAAATCTCCGTGAGACACACACGCACACACAGAGGAGCCTTTAGGAACACCACCAGGGTCGTAGATGGCTGGGCCATTGTCACAAGACCGTCGGCTTTGTCCACCTGACAAAATTGACTTTCCCCCAAATATTAAATAACACATGAATACTAGGAAAACAAGAAAATTATACATAATCCACTCCACAGACTACTGAAACTTTTAAGGGAATTTTCTCTCATTTTTTCAAATCTATAAGGAGTGTTTTTCCCTTCATTATCAATAAATACGCATCCAAGACCATTTTGAGTCAATGAGGAGTATTTCCTAGTGTAAAAACAGTATAATTTTCTTCTTTTCCCATTTTTAAAACTCGTGGTAAAATGCACAAGATAAAATTTACCATCTGAACTATTTTTAAATACAACAATGTCCTTTTATGACCCTGTATTGTTGAAGAAGGAAAATTGCTTCGTTTTACACCTGGAATTCGATTCGACCACATGATTAGTTGTAGGATGTGGGAAAGTCACTCGATCTCTTTCCACCAAATTTGATCATTTAAACCACAAGCCGAGCTCTGCCTGCCTCACGGGGCTGCTGTGAGCAGGAGGTGAGAGACCGTGGTTGTGAGCTGGGTTCCTGGCGAGCTCTGGCTGGTAGCAGGGCCTGAGCTCCCCGGCCCGGGCTGTGTCTTTCCTCCTGCTGCTTCCATTATTTCTCCCGTTTCTTTGTGTTATTAGAATAATGACAATAATAACATCAGTAGCAATGATGATAGCTGCCATTTGTGGACAATTCGCTGTGTACTAGTCTTTCCCTGTTCTTCCCACAGAGAAATGTTAAATCTCACACCATCCACCTGGGGCAGGTGCAGTGGTTATCCCCAACTCACAGACAGGCAAACTGAGAGCAGACTAATTTCCCGAATGTCGGAGAGCCAGTCAGGGGCAGAGCAGCACTCGGAGCCCTTGGAGCCCAGCTGCCCTGTGTGAGCTCGCGACACTCTCCCTACTGACTGTGAAAGCAGGTGCCCACGTCCCTCACACTTCCCCTGCCTGTCTCCTCTCTCATCCCTGACAAAGTGCTTCTGCGCTGCTCTCAGGGCTGAGGACTCTGGATGCCCCACAGTCTCCCCCACTGTCCCCACGTGACCCTACCACCCCAAGACCCTACTGTACCATCACAACTGTCCGTGGGGTTGGTGATGATCTCCCCAGACCAGGAGCTGAATCCCAGATGACAGCGACAGGCGGTGGCATTGATACATGTGGAGTTCCGAGGGCACCGGGAGCACAGCCTGGAAGGGCTATGGGACAAGGACCATGGTCAGAAAGTCCATGGAATGGAGGAAGTCAGCTGTCAGCAGGAGGGTACAAGAGTAGAGGACAGGAGGGCAGAGAGGGATGACCCCCATCAAGGAGGAAGAGCTCAGAAAAATCTGGACATTTAGGGGGTAAGAAGCAGATTCTCCTGTCCCCAGAGGGCCAACTCTGAGCCTCGCTTGCAGAATAAGGCTCCTTTCCCTATCTTGTTGGTGACAGAACCCAGACCCCAGCATGGACGCCCCAGCTTATGTCAAAATGGGGCTGGCCGAGCAGACTCACCTCCAGGACTCAGGGCTACAGCTCCCAATGGCAACAACAGCAGCACTGAGAGTCCTGGGGCAGAAAAAACACAGAAATGACAAAGAGAGGAGAGTTAAGCTCCAATTTTAATCTCTGTCCCGTGGAGGTGGCTCTGGCCCTGCAGCACACGGCTTTCCAGCAGCATCCCCAAGGCTCCTGTCCTTCACTGGAATCGAGGACTCAGCCTCTCCCTCCATCCCCCAGGACTGCCCGAGGACTCGGTCACTGACAGCCACATCCACAGCGATATCAGCAGGGCACGGAGCCCTGGAATCAGGAGGGGGAGGTGACGACAGGTGAGGAGTGGGAACTAAGGAAGCTGCAGGTAGAGCGACTCTCTCCTGGTGAGTGGACTCTCCAGGGACAGCAGCCATGGCTTCCTGGTTCCTCCAGTGAGCTCCTGGCGTCCTCTAGTGCACTGAGGGCACCGCCTTCCCCCTTAGCCCCCAGGCCAGTCCTGAGAAATGAGTCACTGAGCAGGCGCTGTGGGGTGAAAGCCGCTATGGGCGCTAAGGAATTAAAGCTCATTTACAGACAACAACCAGTC